TCACCTAGTTCCAACACCCTTGTCATTAAAATTCCTGGAGATAATCACTTGCCTCCAGGGACCAAGTGTAAAAGGGCAGAAAACGAGCCCAACCCCTGGTGCTGGTGTTTACCCTTCTCCCTGCATTCCTGCGGTGTCTGGGAGGTGGGAAAGAAAACCCTACCAGTTTGCTTTGGCACCTGCACTGGGGTTTAATTTGAATATGCTTGGCTGGAAAACTGCTTCATCTTCTGGTGAGTGTGTGTCAGCACTGCCCCCTGCCTGGGGAATATCCCCCAGGATGGTGTGGGGTGAGTTCAAGACCAGGTTGGATGGGGCTCTGAGTATCCTGGTCTAGTGGAAGGTGTCCCTTCCCATGGCAGGGTGTTGGAACTGGATAATCTTGAAGGTCCCTTCCAACCCAAACCAGACTGTGATTCAATGATTCTATGAGTTGTTGGCTCTGACCTGCCCAATCTACCATGAAATGGGGGCTGTCAGCTTCATGTCCCCAGCTTGGATGAAGGAGCTCAGCTGAGTGTGACCATGGCTTGGAGGATCCTGCTGACTCCATCACATGGATAAGGAAAATGTAATTACATCTGTAGGATTTCCATCAATACTGAGCAGCAGCAGGCTGGGTCTCAGGGGAGATTTTTCACTGTATTGAAATCTGACTTTATTAATTATCAGCTTCTGATCTCATTTGAGGGTTAAGTTTATGAAACTGAATCCTTAGTCCTCTGATTTCCTTATTCAGCTGGTGTTTATTGAGTCTTGTACAGTGGATGGTTTGGACCTTAGAAACTCTCAAGGTGCTTTATTCCTCTGGCATGAGCTGTGCAGGAGAAGAAGCATCAGAGCAAGCACAGATGGTGGAGTTGTACACAAGACCTAGGGAAAGACAGAGGAAGAAAACATTTCTCAGGAAAATTGAAGATAGGGACAGTTGTGTGATGTCAAAGGTCTTAACCCCAAAATATAGATTATTTTCCCCCTGACAGGAACAACCCCTTCTGAGATGGGATGCTGGTGGCAGCACCCAAAACCCCCACCCCTGCCCACCCCTAAGGTGTGGGGCTTTAGCAGAGCCACACTGGCTTTGGTGCACCCCAGACTATTCACCTGGGGAAAACTTCCCATCCTCTGTTTATCCAGGGAGCACCAGGCTTGGCTGGAGGCACTTCTAGGATTGCCTGGTTTTTATCTAGACATCAATTATTTTTTTTTATTAAGAGAAAACAGCCACTGAACAGCCCTTCAAGCTTTGGGCTGGTGTCTATTTCCACTCGAAGAGCTTTGTTAGATAATTGTAATACTTTTCTGAGAGAAAACAGAGCAATTGAGGCTTGTAATTAAAAGCTATTCAGAGAGCTTTGATTCTTCCCTCTGCATCTTCACTTACCATACACAAATGCCAACAACAAACTCTTGGCAATATTTACTGTCACTATTCTTGACCTTTGCCTTTAAATTAACTCCTCTTCCTCACTTCCAGTCAAAGGGAGGAGGGGGGAGAGAAATTTGGCAACATGGCATGTGGCTTTTCAATAGAGCTTTATTTGGAACATATTTTTATGTGTGTTTTGGAGGATGTCTGATATCACAGAACAACAGAATCATTAAGGTTGGAAAAGGTCATCAGGTCCAGCACCACCACCATGTTTGCCGCTAAACTATGTCCTGAAGTGACACATCCTCACATTTTTTGAACACTTCCAGGGATGGTGACTCCACCACTGCCTTGGGCAGCCTGTTCCAATGGTTGGCCATCCTTTCTGTGAAAAAATATTTCCTAGTATCTAATCTAAATCTTCTCCGGTGCCACTTGAGGCCATTTTGTCTCATCCTGTCTCTCCATGATGACAAGCCTGGAGCTCCTCTGGAGGCCTCAGAGCTGCTGTGGAAGAAGGGTCTATCTCCCCAAAACTGGCTCCAGGCACAGCCACAGCTGCAGTGATGGTGTGGAGGGGTTTTTACCCACAGTGTCTGTCTTGGGCAAGGGCAGGGAGCTGCCAGTCCTGTGTCCCCACAGCCCACAGAGGGTCCTCAGGTGACCTCCTGACTCACCATGAGAGGGAGCCCAGCCTGGGAAGTCCCCTTCTCTTCAGCAGCAGGTGAGAATGTCAAACCTTGAGGTGCTGAGACCCTTTGAAGCCACCAAACCAGGCTCATTTCTCCCAGAATTTGCAGTAAAGCCAGAGGATCTCCATTTCACTGGGTTTGTGGTGGGAGCACCAGTGGCTCATCAGCACCTCCCAGCAACTTGCAGTAAACAAGGGGAGTGCTAAAGAAAAGTCAGGCTGTGCATTACAGGGACAAATTCACTTTCTTGTATTGATTTTAACAGTATCCTCTGGAGATTTTTCTGTTTCATATCTTTTGTAGTCTAAGTTTTCGCTTATCCATTTTAAATCTTTTTTTTTTTTTTTTTAAAGATCCTTCTGATAGGCAGGCCTTCATCTCTCAGCGGGTTATTATTTCTTTTCTCACCCAAAATTGTGACCAGCCATAGAGAGACATTGTGAGACTGCCTAAATCCTGGGGGATTAGAGCTTCCTGGGGGAACAAGCTGCAGCACAGCTTGGATGAGGACAATTGATCAGAACAGCCATTATTGCTGCAGCAGGAAGACTTAAAAAGCAACAGTCATTTCCGATCCCCTCCTCCTCCTTATCTCAGACGCCTCTGTCTAAAACCTGAAGCTGGAATATAAGCCCTGTATGAACCCTAATTCCAGTTCTGGGGTGGAAAATGACTTATTCCTCCTCTCCCAGAGATGATGGAGGAGAATCCTCCAGGGCTGTCTGTGCTCATGGGTGCTGTGGAACAGGGAAGCCAACTCCTTCCTGGAAAGGAGGCAGGCAGGAACCTGCTGCACTGGGCTGGAGTAGAGGGACCTGCTGTGACCAGCAAGGCTGCCCCTCATGTTTGCACCCATTAAGACACCCTAGACTGTCCCAGAAGGAAATTTCCCCCAGCTTTGAGGCTGAGCTGACTTCCCTGCTCTAGTGAACGGCTCTCTGGGAAGGGGTTAGGATGGGAGAACCCTAATTGGCCCTGCAGACCCCGTAAGGATGTTTGGTTTAGGATGGAATTTATTCAGTGAGCTGCTAATGGGATTTGTTTCACCCCTTCCAGTCTCCAAGACGCAGATAACGTGGGTTGGTGTGGCCAGCCAGTCCCAGCAGCGGGAGGGAATTCAAAGGAATGAGTTGGTGTGCAGAGTTTCCCTGCGGGAGGTGGGGGGAAACTTGTGCTATGGGTGGAAAAGCATCTCCTTGAAGGCATTTTCTGCTCTCCCAGGAGGAGCCGAAGCAGCCTGGCCTCGGGTGCCGTGTTCCCAGGATCTGCACGGGTGTGGGCACCCCGACTTTGCCGCTGCCCCCGCAGAAGCAGAATTTCGGGCTGTGCGAGGCTGAGCAGCTGCGGGAGATGCAGCGATGCTGAGCTGAAAGCAGAGAGTGCCGCTTAGTGCCGCTGCTCTGAAATGCAGGGCCAGGTTGGACAGCCCGGACACCTCGGGGCTCCCCTGGGAGCCACAGCCCCTCCTGAGCACGGCAGGAGACCTTGGCCCATGCAAATCCTTCTCCCCTTGGAGCCTTGCACCTCACAAGAGCAAAGCAAAGAGGAGCCTACACTGATATCTCGTGCCATTTTACACGGAGAAAATCTCAGATGAAGGCAGGATGCTGCTGTAAGCAGATGCTGTTCATCCTCAGGAGAGAAAGCCCAGGGGATGTAAGCAATGCCTGTAAGTGCCTGATAAAGGGTGGAGAGAAGAGGGAACCAGACTCTCCTTGGTGATGTCCAGTGACAGGACAGGAGGCGCAAACTGAAATACAGAAAACTCAATTTCAGCACAGGAAATAAATTTACTGTGAGAGTGGTGAAGTATGGAAACAGGTTGCCCAAAGAAGTTGTGGCATCTCCATCCTTGGAGACATTCAAACCCAGTTGGACATGGTTTTGGGAACTTTCCTCTAGGTGACCCTGCTTGAGCCACAGTGTGAAACCTGTGACAGTCATGATTTGTGATTTAATGGGGAAAGCTCCAGTAATGACACTGTCGGGTCTGAAAGTGGGTGACTCACACTCAAAAGGTCCTTTCCATCTAACAAAATATATTAGGTTTTCCACCTAATAAATTATATTGCTTTTCCTACAGACCTAGGGCCAATGAACAGTGACCTTTCAGCTAACCAGACAACTTGTGTGTGAGGCTGCACTATCCGAGTTAATTTTCTACACTCAGAGAGGTTTTTCCACCTCAGAAGCCCCACTGCCAGCAGGTGGCAACCATGCTAAAGCAAAATTCCTGGAGAAGTTTCACCTGGGAGAATGTGCTCCCCTTCACTGTTCTTCCAAAATTAGGACCTTTAATATGTAGAAGGCAACACATCTCTTTCAGTTTCCTAAAAGGGAAAAAATGCAATTGCCATCATGATGTATTGAGGGTTGTCAGTTTGGGGTGCTGAGGGTACTGACCCAACAGAATTACCCTGAGCAGCCTCACCTGGGGTTTCCTGCCACACCCTCTCCCATTGCCCCAGGAGCCCATTTAAACCAGGAACTGCAGCCCCTACCTCTTTTGTTTTACCTGTCCTGTGCTCTCCTGGTGAAATTTGGACAGGTAAGAGCCCAGTTTGTTACCTGCATATTTGGAGAAAGCTTGAGAAAAAAGTTTTAGCTGAGAGTACCTTCCTAAAACCAGTAATTTATATACTTCGCAGGGTTAAAGAGTGTGAGAATGAGCTTTCCAAGCTTTCAATATGGTGTTTCTGACCTCCAGACTCTTCTTCTCAAGTCCTGCTTCGGTTCAAGTATTTTAATTCTTTATCTGCTAAAGAAGGAATTTTGTCTGCAGTGTTTGCTAGAGCTTTTCTTGTGGCTTACAAACACCTTAATTTAGTTACAAATCTACTGTATTTTACTTTGGAGTAGGTAAAATGCAATGTATAGCACAAGTATTGTACATTTTCTCTTGTGAAAGAAGGACCAGACTCTTTTTCCCCATGAGGTTTATTTCATGAATCACTCTTAAATAAATATATATTTGACACTTAACAGGAACAATTAGTTAAAAATAATTTCTAACACAAATTCCCACAGTTGTCATACTATTGGCATGATGTGTTGTTTAACTCTATTTTTGAGACACAAATCTTCTTTTTGGTCTAAATTTAACCTGTGTTAACAGTCCAGGAAAGAGGGAATTTGGGGTGGGGTGGGGTGGAAGATGAACAACCCCCAAAATCAAAAACAAAGCTATAACACACAGGCACATACATGGATATGAAAATGGTTTCTTTTTTTTTTTATTTCCAAATACTCATCCTCTGTCCTTTTTATTTATATTTCATTGAAAGTGCTCATTAGCTCTGCCCCATGAAACAATCCTAATAACATGGTAATAAAGAACTGAGCATTGCATTATTCTGAAAAGTGCTCTCCAGCCTGTCAGTGCTGTACAGCAGATGGCAATAAAGGACCACTATGTGCTAGAAACGCACCTCTGAAAGGAAGTTTTCTGTCCTTAATAATTTGGAGTGTGTAGATTAAAAATAAGAATACAGAAATGCAACTCTGAGGAGCTGGGAGGAGCAAAGAAGGGAAATAAGAGCTGCAAGGGAGCAGGACAAACTGTGGAGGATGAGCATCATAACCAGACGAACACACCACGTGTAAATGAAAGAACGGACATTGTGCATTCGTTGGCCACCCCTTCAGTCTTTGAAGCTGCCCCTGCAAAGCCCTGGGAGGGCAAGGATCTGTGACCCCCCCAACCCCGCTGCTCAAGAAGTTCTGCATTCCAGCAACTTCCGAAAACTTTTCCTAAAACTGTCGTCCAGGAAAGCGTACAAGAAAGGATTCAAGCAGGAGTTAGCATAGCTCAGGCTGGTGATGAAGTAGGATATACCAATGACCACAGAGGTCTGGGGCAAGTCAGTGGTCAAAGCCACGACCGTGGCCAAGTGGAAGGGGGTCCAACAGAAGAGGAACACAGCCAGGACTATGAAGACCATAACAGTGACTTTCTTCTTGGCTTTGTCCAGGGCTCTGGCGTTGGAGTTCAAGTGCATGTTCCTTAGCCTGTAGAGCATCATGGTGTAGAGGATGCAGATGGTGGATACTGGAATGGCAAAGCCAAGGATGAGGGTATAGATCCTGCTGGCTTTGAACCAAAACCTTTCAGGCTTGGGGAAATTGAGACCACAACTCTTTATCTCCAGGTCGTCGGTGTAGACGTTGGCGAAGATGATGAAAGGGAGGACTATGATGGTGACCAGGATCCAGATGCACAAGCTGACAATCCTGGCCGCTCGGTACGTGCGATGGGGCATCCTCTTGGACCTGACTGTAGCCAGTACCACCAGATACCTGTCTATGCTCATCACTGTTAGGAAATAAATGCTGGAGAAGATATTGTAGTGGTCTATGGACAGGATGACCTTGCAGAGGACCTCTCCGAAGGGCCAGTAGCGGAGCAGGTGTTCCGCGATGTTAATGGGCAAGACGAGTGTGAACAAGTCGTCGGCTATAGCGAGGTTCAGGATGAACATGTTTGTCACAGTCTTCATCTTGGGGGCCTTGAGGATCACGTAGATGACAGCAGTGTTGCCTGTGAGCCCCACAGCACAGATCACGGAGTAAATCACGGGGAGGACAACATAGAAATCAGCTGCCTGCTCTTGGAAGGAGAAGTTGAACTTCATGCTGTTGTCCAGGTAGCAGCTGTTGCCTGCATTGCTGCAGGTACTGTTCAGATCATCCCAAAAAGAGCTGTTTCCCATGCCTGTTGGTCACAGACCACCCTCAGATGTTACTGAAAGCCCTGTTAACCCAGAAGAAAGAAGGGGTGGGGGTGTTTTTTTGTTGTTTTTTTGGTGTTTAGATTTTTGTGGGGTTTTTTTCCCCTCTGGCAGAAGCAGCCACTATCTCATGTAGATGCAGGTTATTTTCAAAGGTGTGTTGTGAGGCAACACGAGCCACCTAACTTATCTCTCCTGTCCCCCCATGCTGGAGAAGTGATGAGGGGAGGAAAAATGTTTGAAAGGCACACGAGGCTCCATGAACCAAGGAAAGAAGAGAATTATAACTCTGTAAGTCAAGGAACTCTTCTTTCTGAGAGCATTCTGGTGATCTTTGCCTTTTCCCTTCTGGGAAAGTCGAGTGGCTCCAGTTCAGCTGTCTGCTGTGAGTGTTCTTCAGGGGCTGGCAAGAACAAGGAGGCAGAGAGGGAGCTTTGTGCCTGTCTGGCTCTTCACAGCCTTTGGAGGACTCAAGGGATGGCTGCTGTTCCACTGGCACAGCACTTGCTTTCCGTGCAGGAGCAGAAGCGTTGCAGTCATTAATTAGTGCCTGCCTTGGTGTCGGAGTTCAAGCTCTTCATTGACTGAGATTTCACAAACAATGAAGAAGTTTCTGACACTGCTACTCCCCCACTCCCAGGGTCCCCTAGCAAAAGAAGGAGGAGGAAAAACAGTTCAGGGAGTATTTCCAAAACTACAGGTTAAAGGGGCTTAACCTGCAATCAAAGTAACGCTTTAAGCAAGGATGGGCTATGATCTTATTCACTATGAAGACCATCCCCAGTGCAAGCGACTGTCAGCACACCAAACTTGGCACAGATGGACAGACAAACCTGTAAACCTCAGAAGTTCAGGATTAATCAGGGAAGAGGGAGAAAAGTACCCTGACAGCGAATCCGCCTTCAAGTCACAGCAAGAATTGCTACATCTGTAGCAGTTGCCACATCCATCACTATCGCCCGACCCCTTCTTCCAAGAATTCCTCCGCTGGGAATGAGCAAGCAGCAGCACCCCCTGGCCCCCCAGGAAGATCAAAGGTTTGGCAAGTGGCCCCAAGCTCTGCAAAGAGAAGTGCTTCTCCTCTCTTGCACTGTGTTGTTGCACAGCAATCAAGTGCAGGACAGGACCGCCAGCGCTGGGGAAGGAGGGCTGAAGTGTCTCTTACCTGGCGAGTGGCTCCGCTGCCTCCCCCAGTACCTGCTGCTTGAGCTGGTGAGCCTCTTCTCTCTAATCCGAGCCGGAGGAGGGTCTCTGGGATGCTGACGTTACTGGGCTTTGCATTCATATCAACGTGATGCCTCTGTGTGTGTGCGTTGCATGTCTGAGCAATTAACACTCGCTCAAACCGGGGAAGGGGGAGCAAAAAAAAATAGGTTTTCTTTCTGCAGGGTTATTTAAATAGTAAATAAAGTAGATGCTGGTGAGCAGCTGATGCTCCGGGCTGTTCCCTTCAGGAATGAGGGAGATCTGGAGGGACACGGACAGCACCCAGGGCTGGCTGAATGAGGGATGTGTGAAACGGTGGGAAGCGGGGGATTAAACTGCTTCAATAGGGAACAGTGGCTGGTTTTAACAAAGGAAGATGCCCCAGAGGGAGTGGGAGGAGAGTAAGCAACGTTACCGCTCGCAAAATGAACAAATAAACAGACCTTGCCAGATCTGTGCTGGTTTCAGCTGCTCTGGGAGAGTTTGGTTGATTTTTCCCCAGCTGGGTCTCTGGTGCAGCTTTGGAAATGCAGTGAAATCCTTCAGATGTGCATCAGGAGGTGCGGGAGTCCCGTGAAGCTTGACAGAAATGCACCCCAGGCTATAGAGCAAAACCAGCAACAGTGTAAGATCACTTTACCTTCATGCCCCTAGAAAAAGAAGAAAAAGGAATTCGAGGGTCTCTTGATTCTCCTTTAGTCCTTTAAATGTTACCTGGCCTTCCTTTCAAGACGAGGCAAGGGAAAATGCAGCCATCTGTCAGTGCCATGCCTGGCTGTGTGCATGTAACCAAACTGGTCAGCTTTTTGATCTCAGCTGTGTAGCCAAGAATTGTGTTTGACTTTGCTCCTCTCCTGTAGATATTTACACTCTTCTGGTAAGATTATTGTGCTCTGGTAACTGGGGAGGGAGTGAAACACTTCATTGCACTTGGAGGTAATTTCTTAGAACCACGGGTATAACTGACTTTTTCAAGCAGATGGAAATTTTTTTATGCCCAGTGTACCAGATATTTTCTTTATCTCGGCCAAAATCTTGTCCAGACATTAGGCTTAAGGAAAATGAAACAGAAATTATATTGCCCAAAAGATGCATAGGAATACTATGGATGGTATTTCTTCAGATGAAACACCTCTGGAGCTGCCTTCTTGCCTGTTTTGGTAAAGCTGGTGCAGTTTGTAAGTAGTTGTAAACGAAGCAAGGTATTGATAGGTCTGCAGGGAGAAGGCAGTTTCCAGGAATTGCTGTTGTCTTTTTCAGAGAAGAAAGTACAGGAAGGCAGGGAAATTCAGGAGAATGTGATGTTACATTTGCTGCTCTGTAACTATTCCCCAGGACAAAAGGGTTTGAAAGTATTTTGCATCCACAGTCCTTCCGTTGAGGCTTTCTGGCTTCCAGCACTCAGCACATCTCTGGGATAGCTTAAAACCCGTCCTTTCACTCACCAAACTATCTGATCTTGGAACTGGCATCACACTGCCTTGTCCAGTGGTGATGAGCCCAGGTGCTGTGTGTTTTAGGGACTGCTGTGATGGGCTGAGAGCTGGGGAAGGATGCAGAGACTGTGATGCTGGTGACACTCCCTTGTGTTTTACCCTCTGCCTTGTGCCTTATTCCTCATTATCCTTAGGGAACATGCTCTCCGTGCCTTGGTTAGGATGTGCTTGATTAAAATAACCTGCCAGAGATGCGATGGAGACTAATTTAATCTCATTGCCTGGTGTGGGTAGAGGGGCTTCTTCTTCTTATATTCCCCAAACAAACTCCTGGCACCTGCTTTCTGAGCTGTGCTCCTTGAATAGTTCTTCAGTAAAACTTGCTTGCTCTGGGGAGGAGGATTGCCAACAGATCTGAATTCATGTAGGAAGTTCCACCAACAGAGAAAAATCTGTCCCTTGTGTGGCTCTGGGTCTGACCAGAGCCAGTGGCTATGCACAAAGGAGGCACATCATGTGTATTAGTGTGATGGGGAGTGCTTGGAGGGAAGGCTGAGAGGATGATTTATTCATTGTGTTTTCTCTGACTGGGCATCCCTTCCACTTGATTATAAATGTTATGGTAGCATGAAACCTTAAAGACCAAGCACTGGTTTGAAGATGCTGTTATGAAGGACACGAGCAGTGTTTTCCATCTGAGCTGCTCTTGTGCCAGCAGCTCCATTGCCAGCTCATGCAACAGGGACAAAATTTCTGTTCCTGCCAAATCCCTGCCATGGAGATGGACTTTGCCTCTTGAAAGCCACATTCACACTGTGCAGCTCGAGTTAACTGTGCAAAGAAAAGGTGGTGTTTTAGGGAGGGGGAAATCCCTGCCAATGCTAAATCAGTGGTGCTTTATTGCCTTCATAAACCTGTCGTGCTGCTCACTCCAGACAAAGGCAACCCACCATTTTGGAGTTATGGAGAGCCTGTTTTGTTGGGCTCCTGCTGCTGTCGAAGAGTCAAGTTCATCCCAAGGACACAGATACACAATCAATACCCTGTTTACCAAAACAAAATGTTCTCGTCTGACTGTCTTGCAGTCGCTGGTTATTAGGGTGATTTATTTGTATGAGGTGTTCAGGCTTTTCAAAAGCACTGCAGGTTAATAATAGAATCAAGGAATAGTTTGGGTTGAAAGGGACCTTTAAAGTCCAACTGCCCTGCAGTGTGCAGGGATGTAGCTAGATCAGATTGCTCAGAACCCCATCCAGCCTGACCTTGAATGTTCCCAGGATGGGGCATCTACCACCTCTACTGGTAACCTCTGCCACTGCCTCATCACCCTCACTGCAAAAACTTCTGTCTTATATGTAACCCAAACCTACCCTCCTTCTGTTTAAAGCCACCCCCTCTTATCTTGTCACAACAGAACCTGCAAAAATATCCAGAACTGATTATGTTAAACAGTCTGCAGTGGCTTCTGTTGAGGAAAGCCAGTGTGCCTGGTCAGGTTACTTGCTACAGGACAACATTGACTGTGCTCTAACTTCTTCCTCGGGACTGGCTCTCCTTGAGCTGCTCTGATGCAAGCTTGAAGGCGTGGAGAAGTTGGCCACTGCATCCCCAGGAAGCACCTGCTCCTCCTCGGTGTGGTGCTCACTCAGCAAAGGGGCAGTTGGTGGGTATTGAGGGGAACTGGAAAGGAGAAACCTGAGCTTATTCATCACCCCTGTGCTGGGTGCTTCTCCCTTTGCCACAAGCTGGCTCGTGTCCTGCTGCTTCCTAACCCTTCCCAGCTGTTTTGAGCTGTATTGAGCCAGGCTGGCTTAGCCAAGTGATGGTGCTCCCCTTGTGGGACACCCCTGGGATCCAGTTAGGGGTGTAGGTGCTGATTTTTATATGGGGTATGAGTGTAGGGCAGATGTCTCCGTCAGTGAACTGGTAAATTGTGGTGCAGAAGGTGCCTTTGAATGGTAATAATTGCTGTGGGTCCAGGGGCTGGTGACACATCCAACCCGCCACAAGCTGCAGTGAAGGCAAAGTGGTACTGGAGGTGATTTAAGGAAAATCGTAGTAATGAGTCTTATAAATGGCCCATTTTTGTCAGGGAAAGTACATATCAATAACTGCTCTGTCTGTCTCTGCAGGGGAGCAATCGAGACAAATGCCATGTTAACAATTTACTCAGACCAGATGTGATGGGGAATAAAAACTGCAGCACCAGGAGGTGGTGGGTGGCTGAAGCTGATTGCTCCCTGCAAGCCAGGAAGGAGGCTGTGAGGCTCCAGCAATGGGTCAGTTCTCATCCCCAGCAGCTTTTGGAGACCCTGGCGCTTCTACCAAACATCTCCCAGCCCTGTGGCATGCCTGGGGCCACACAGAAGTATCACCCAGCCATAGAGGGTGAGTGGCATTGCAAGAGTCTGCCTGGATCCCAGCAGGAGCCCTTGCACTCAGAGGTGTGGTAATTAATAAAGCTCTGGCAGTGTACTCGTGACCGTGTGAGCAAGGACACAGTGCCAGTCTTGCTGCAATTAATATGAATCTGTGAGAATTTAGAGTGCAGGCAGAATGCTGCTTTCAACACCCTCATTTCTTACCCCACCCCCTAGTTGGTCAGCCTCGTTACAGAGAGAGAAATTAAAATCTGCTTCCTTTACAGGATGCTTTTATTCTGCTTTTTTTTTTTTTTCTCGCTTTTTCCCAGGGCTGGAAGTGAGTCTGTGCTTCAGTTGGTTTGCTGCCTTGAGCCAGTCCAGTCTGTTCAAAGCAGAACTCTTTGGGAGAGGAAGGTTTCTGGAAGGGGTCTGTCCCGTTTTTCAGTGATGTTCATCTCCTTTGCAGGGTCTGTGGGGCTCCCCTTGTGTCTGTGCTGTCATGAGCAGAGATGCTGCTGCCTCATCCTCCTTAACTATCTGGAAGTAGGGGAAGCTAATCTGCTGGATCAATCTATGGATCAGTTTGTCTTCTGGGCTTGAAGCTTTTGTTGTTCCCCATCTCAGGCTTC